AACTACTGTACTAAGAAATTGGGCTCTTCTGAACTACTGTACTAAGAAATTGGGCGCTTCTGAACTACTGTACTAAGAAATTGGGCGATCAACGATAGCTGGACAGGATAGCACACAGATTCAGTCAGAAAGAACAAATCTATCGAAAACGGCTTAAGTCTAGTCTTGATCACCGGATTGTTTTTCGAGATCTAGCAGATGTTATGTGGCAAGTTTTCTCCACATTGTGCCTCTGACTACTCGCCTTGAATTCACATTCGATGGCCTATAAGCACAGGTGGAAGCTTCTTCCAGGGTACCAACTTGTTACTGAGCCACTGAAACTATTAACACACATCAGCAGTCACTTAGCAAAGGTGATACTGTAAATCCACAACCAAAAAGCTGTTATGCCGGGAGCAAACAACCTAGTCAACACTACTCAGGAAAGAAATATAACATTCATGGAGGTAGTGCTAACTTGTAGATGTCGTAAGAACATGACAGTGGGACACTTTAGTAGCCTTATTGTCTCATGTTAGGCAAGTCCAAGTCACACCGAAGCACACCCACTAAAGTACCCGTCTAATCTATATTTAAAGCTACCCAAAATTCTTCCATCAGTGACATTACTTCGGAGTTTGTTCCATCCGTCTACTACTCTGTTGCCAAACCAGTAATTGCCTATATTGTTTCTAAATCGATTTTTTTTCCAAATTTCAATCCATTGTTGTGAGTCGTGTTTTGGTCTAATATTTTCAGTACATTATTCATACCCCTTATTTATTTCCGGTTTTCATATGTACGCTTCCCTAATTCTACGCATTTTTAGAGCACAAATTCAGTGCCTTCAACCTATCATCACGGGAAAGGTTTCTGATCACTTGTCATTCTTTATGTTTTCAAGGCATTTATGTTCATTCTGCAATTTGCAGATCAGAAATGAGCAGCATAATCTAAATGAGTTCTTATCAAAGACATATATAGTTTAAGTACAGTATTACCTTAGGACTCTTAAGTTATACTTCTAGATATGAAGCCAAGAATTCTATTAGCTGTACTGCACTGTTGACTTCGAATTTATGCTTTCCACAACTTCTAAATCTTATTTTTTAGTATGATTATTTACATTATTTAGCCTGTAAGTGCCAGTTATTTTCTTTTCCTAGGATTAGGACCTTACATTATTATTATTATTATTATTATTATTATTATTATTATTATTATTATTATTATTATTATACTCATGGGGAAGCGCTAAGCTCGTAGAGGACATACAACGCCAGGGAGAATGGAAGGTATTCTGGCTTGTTTCAAGGAATTGGAGCATTGGTCCAGTGCCTTAGATCAAGAACTAACCATCATCAAAGAACCTCCCTTGAAGGGAAACAATTACATTAATCCACATTGAACGTCCACCACTTTTCCGAACACATTAACTTATCCAGGTCATCCTGTAACTTTCTGGTATCATCATAAATTATTTAGTAGCCTATTTTAGTATCATAGGCAAACACGCTAAGTCTATTTATTTCATTATCTATCGTTTAGATAGATTGTGAATATGATTATGGTATACAATACCGACAAGGTGATAAATAAAACACGTGTAACAGTTAGGTAAGTTTTTCCGAAACGTTTCGCCTACATATTAGGCTTCTTCAGTCGAAGCAGCAGAAACAATATAAATGTAAAGACGATGTAATCAGTCCATCACCCTTGAAGACATAGTTTGAGATGGTCAGTCCCTCAGCCTGGAGAAAAGTATTGTTCCATAGTTTGGGACAACGTGAGGGTGAAGCAACAGTATGGAGCCTTATATACTGTCAAAGGTGAGGCGCAGATAAGGCAAAAGGTCAGGCAAAAAGAAGAGCTATCGAGGATGTTCTCTGTACCAAGATACCGTTGTGTTGCAGTGGCCCGTGGCCTGGTGGCAAATGCTCTCGCTTCACACGGTGAGGATCCGGGTTCGATTCCCGGTGAGAATTTAAACATTGGGCGTATTTCCTTACACCGGTTGTCTATATTCACCCATCAGGAAAATGGGTACCTGGGTGCTAGTCGGCTGGTGTGGGTCGCATCCCGGGACAAAACTGACTTAATTTGCTCGAAATGCTCTGCATAACAAGCGGCTTTCTATATAGTAGTATGTCATTGATGTCATCTAAGCCTGTATACTTGTACATGTACTTGTAGAAATAAAAATATATTATTATTAAAGTGAATATGATAATGATATACAATACCGACAAGTTAAGTAAGACATATGTGCACCAGTTAGAGGTAACTTACTCCTTGTGAACGACAAGGATCTCAGTGACCTCTGTAGCGCTCCACTTCTAACAGGTCCCGACTCTGATTTCTCCATCATTTACGCAAACTCTATACTGTCTAGCCTATCAGCTATGCCTCGCCCCATTTAATTTCTCCTACTTTATAATATGCTGTTACCTTCCACATCCCCTTCCCCACAGGCGCTGCATAATCCTACGAGTTTAGCGCTCCCCCTTGATTATAATATCATGTGCCTCTAATTCATCGACTTCCTGATTTATTAGGATCTACTGCCTTAATTATCTTAATGAAATTATTATAATAAAAAATAAGCGCTCAACCCGCTTATCTTAATGAAAAAGGTTAATAAATTTGTTGGGAAAAAATGCAAATTTGTTAATTATTATTATATTGTATATTAAAAATAAATGCGAAATCTTCTCCACTAATCCCCTCTGGAGGCGGGATTAGTAGAGTTTGAGGCGAATGTGTGAAATAATCATAGTTAGGGGTAAAGTTCATTTGTAAACCCGTGTCTGAGATTCACTGATCAAATAAATCTATGTATTTGCTTTCAGATGGTTTCGAATTGCATCCACAATTATTGATTCCAACTTGCCCACAATTCAGGTTAATTGAGCTATAATTTGAAGCTACGGGGGCTGTCTCCCATTTTGTACATGGACATCACATTTGATATTTTCCAGCCATCCTGTATAATACCCGTTTGTATTATTATAATCATGGGGGAGCGCTAAGCCCGTAGGATTATACAGCGCATGTGGGGGAGATGGAAGGTATTCCGGCTCAATTCAGGGAACTGGAGCATAGATCCAATTCCCTAGATCAAGAGCCCCTCACCAACGTCAAGGAACCTCCCTTGAGGGGTACCCGTTTGTAGTGATCTGTTGTGCAGTATCGCTGTCACACGTGTCTGGGAGTATTCAGCCATCTAATTGTTTATCAGTTTTTTCTCCTATCTCTTCTTCTTGGTGGCTGTCTTAGTAAAATTGCTTACCGTAGGGTTCTGTTTCACAATAGTAATATAATCAAACTAAGCGCCAAACCCGAAAGGGTCATACAGCGCTGGCTCTATTTGATAAACTGTATGTGTTGGAGCAAAACCAACTTTAGATTTGATTTTATAGTTCAAAATTAGAAGCGCGTTTTTAAACAAACTGAAGCCATTATTGGTTTGTTATTAATATACTTAGGGGAAAAGATCTAAACTAATAGGGGTTATGAATTATTCTGTGAAAAATTACTTGCATGAGGTTTACAGGGTATTACCTGAATTATTATTTGCAAGTAATTTGGGTGAGGTAAGTGGGACTTAAGTCACAGTAGGTCGCAGAACTGTTACTCCCTCAATGCCCACTACATCACTACTCTCACAATAAGCTAGACCTGACACTCAATTAATAATTACAATATTAAACATTAATACCAATAATAATAATATAATATCTTCATTTACTATAAGTACATATGCAAGGTATACATGCCTAGTTGACATCAATGGCATACTACTCTATAGAAAGCCGCTTGTTATGCAGAGCATTTCGGGCAAATTAGGTCAGTTCTGTCCCAGGATGCGACCCACACCAGTCAACTAACACCCAGGTACTCATTTTACTGATGGGTGAACATAGACAACCGGTGTAGGAAACACAACCAATTATAAAATGTCGACTGTATATGATTTGGCTTGCCTGGTGCACAAAATATAATTATTGTACATAATTATAGTAAGTTTATTCAGGTATACACAAATACAGTTACGTAGATTATCATACATAGCAGCATATGTGTAGAGAACCTAGGATAACCCAAAAAAGTGGTGTTATTAGAAAAGAAATTCGTATTACCACTTACCATTTAATTACTGGATCACAATTTTTATGTGTAACACACCCAAACACTATCCTAATAGCTAAAGTTTATGATGGCCAGTGCAAAAACTACTATTCATTATGGGTAAGCATCACTTAGCTAAGGTGTGCTGTCAGGAAGAATCTGAGTCCCTTATTTTTTCGTCCTTGTAGCTGAATTGTAAGGGTTTTCCACACTCCCAATTCTTCAGCAGGAACATGTCAGCAATTTCTAAATTATGGTTTGAGGCCGATATACACCAGTTGAACTTCGATGACGCCTGATTACATGACTATTGTAATAGAGTACACATTAAATTCACTATGGCATCCTCCCATGCCCGTCACTCTGCCACTGTTCTACATCCCCCCCCCTTACTCGAAATTTCTCGAAGGGACAAATCAGCATCACATTTTAATACACAATTATTGTATTATTCAAATTTACACATGCTGTATTTAGGAAAATTCAAAATTTTTCGCAGGGGTCATTTATCTTAAAAATGGGAGACAATGAAGTTTGATCCAAGGGAATATAAGGTCCAGTTCTTTGGACCACTTATTATAAAGTTAAGAGCTAATCCCGAGAGGACCATACAGGGCTGCCATTCCTTGGATTAACATAGAACCTCCCTTAAGGAGCCTAAAGGGTAGGGGGCGATGGGCTAAGTCAGAATAGAAATAACGTCGGAATTCTTATCATTACTTTTTTTTTCATGAGGAAGCTTTGAACTTATGAGGGTCATATAGCATCTAGGGAATGGGGAATATTCGGATTCAATCCAAGGAAAATGAGAATATCTAAGTCCAGGTCCTTAGATCCCTCATTGGCATTAAGGAACTACCCTGGAGGGGTCGACATTACATACAGGTTACCACTTTGATCTCTACAGGGTCGCCCTTCAAAATGACGGCATCGGAGCGGGTCAGAACAATTGGCTGCCAGGCTGAGTCTGGGTCTGGGGCACTGTCATGAACCATGTTCACGCACGCAGGACTTATCACTGGCTGCAAAGTAGGTTGTGCCTCATCGCGCGAATTTCAAGTAATGTGGAAGTAGAGCAGAAGTGCATAAAAATTATGGGGGGCACAAAACCCCGTAGGGATTTTACATCACCTGTTGGGGGGGGTTAAAAAAGACTTTCCCGGGTCAATTCAGGGAACTAAAGAAATGACCCAAATTTCCCTCCCATCAAAGACCCCCCACCGTGTAAATTTTAAAAATCAAAAAAAAAGCACTAAACCCCCAACACCTGCTCCTAAAGGGGGGTTTTCCTTGATGCTAGAAAGGGCGCTCCCGATCTGGGGAAATTTTATCTACCCTTCAATTCCCCTGAATTAAAAACCCTGAACCCCCTTCCCCTTTTCCCCCCCCCCACAAGGGGAATGCATGCTGTATAATCCCTACGGGGTTTAGCACTCCCCCTTTAAATAATAGAAATTTACCCCTACTTTCTGAAAAATTATTTTATTAAAAAACATGGGGGATTGCAAAAACCCGTAGGATTAAAACAGCGCTGTGGGGGTGGAAGGTTTTCAACCTCAACCCAGGGAAAACGGGGACCCAAAACCCAATTCCCTAATCAAGAGCCCCCCCGGGGCATCAAGGAACCCCCCTTTTAAAGGGGCTATAGAAAAAAGGGGAGATAACAATTTGGGGCTAATGAAAGAAATTACTGACCGGACATAGCCCCCTAAAAAAACCCCCACCCAACCCGATAGTGCCAAGTTTTTTCCCGGGGACTATCCCCTTCCCCTAAGAACGCCCACCGGGCCGGATGGCTCGCCTATTTAGACATAAGTCATAACAAACACTTAAATTCCGTAAGAAATCATGCCTTTTTAAAGCTTGAGGTACCAGCAGCATTCAATTTGGTAACAGTTTTTTATTATAATCAAAAAGCGCCCAACTTGAAACGGGAAAGGCCCCAAATCTGAAAAAACGTTTGAGTTGCAAACCTTCAGTCAGTTCGGGGAAACCGCAGGTAAACGTCGTCATAAAGTTTCCCTTTTCTCTAAAAAAAAAGGGGGGCAAACCTCCCAAGGGCCATCCCTGCAGATCCTCTATGTGCAGGTTGTGAAAATTTGGGGGTTTAAAATTATTTGGGTTTTGAAACTTTTTGCAATTTTAAATTTTATTAGTAATGTTATTTTCGGTCAAAATTGTTACAAAAACCGATTTATTTAAAATTTAATAAAGTTCGCACCCCCCCCCCCCCCCCGAGGGGGTAACAAAATCACTGGGGATAAAAAATAAAGTATTTTTTGAACTTTTTAAAGTGTTATAAATTTTTTTTTTTTTTTTTTATTAAAGGGCAAAAGTTAAACGGGGAAAATTTTGAACTTGGGTCTAAACCAGGGGATGAAACCACCTTTGAATGTCCTTGAAAACCAAGGAAAGCGCTGTTCCCGTCAAGTGCTAAACCCAAAAAATCAGAAGGCATTTGTAATGAAAGGGGAAAAATGTAAAAAAGAGGATGGAGAAAAAGCAAAAGCAGGAATTAAAAATTTTTAAAACCAAAGAAGCCTAAAACCCCAAGGGCCATACAGCGCTCAAGGTTGGAAGAAATTGCTGCATTTACCCTTGTCGGGATGTTTCAATTTAAAATAGGGGGGAAAGAGCAAAACCCCACAGGAAACAAGCATCTAGGGGGTTTTGGAGGGATTCAGGTTTTTTCTCCAAAAGGGCGGGGGCCTTATCTTTTTATCAAAAACCAAGGATGAGTTTTGTAAATGGTTTTTCAACTAGTGTGAATTTTTTTTAAACAAAACCCCAAACGCCCAAAAATCTGAAGTGTTTAAAACCCCTCTTTAGGGTTTGTGAAGGGGGAAGGAAAATGCTTTTTAAAGTTTTGGAACTGTCACCAAAAGTTGGGTCTCAGGGGCCCGGGGAGTACATCAAAGTAGTGAAACTAGTCATTTGCAATATAAATTTACCAGCGTTTTTTGTCTCCGGAAAACGACCTCCCCCCCAAGTTTTGCACCCTCAGGATAGCAATGGGGGAATAAAACCCAAATTTTGCACAAAAAACCAGAGAGGGGCCAAAAAACCCGTTGGACACAGGGGAAACCCCGGTAGTGGGTTTTCTTTTCCCGAGGTTTTTAAGGGATTTAGCAAATTTGAAAGAAAGAAAGCCGTGGAATCTCCCAAAGAAAAAAAGGGCCCCAGTACCCTTTCCCCTACCTAGGAACTAAGTGCCTGTGGGAAAAAATCCCCAAAAACTAAAATAAGAAGGGAATAGGGGAGGGGTGGGGGGGAGGAGGGAAAGGGAAAAAAAAGGGATGGATAGGGAAGTAATCAGTTTTGGTCTGAGGAAGGAGACCAAAAGGTCTAATTCCTCAGACCAAGAGCCTCTTCACTGCACCAAGGAGCCTCCCTTCAAAAAGCATGAAAGGATCTCTAACCAACATAGCATAGGAGTGCCTTGCCAATACTATGGTCTAAAAGATAGGCAGTAGAGGAAGTCTGTCAGAGTTAAAAAACTTGGTCCACGGTGTATTTTGAAACAGCGCGTAAGGGGAGTGCGTGACGTACTGGTCTTTTCAGAGTAGAACGAGAAGGAAGTGAAGAAATATCAAGTAATGGTCTTGGGCATTTAGGTGTTTACCTGGAGAGAGTTCCGGGGGTCAACGCCCCCGCGGCCCGGTCTGTGACCAGGCCTCCTGGTGGGTCAGAGCCTGATTAACCAGGCTGTTACTCTTGGCTGCATGCAAACCAACGTACGAGCCACAGCCCAGCTGGTCAGGAACCGACTTTAGGTGCTTGTCCAGTGCCAGCTTGAAGACTGCAGGGGTCTGTTGGTAATCCCCCTTATGTATGCTGGGAGGCAGTTTGAACAGTCTCGGGCCCCTGACACTTATTGTATGGTCTCTTAACGTGCTAGTGACACCCCTGCTTTTCATTGGGGGGATGTTGCATCGTCTACCAAGTCTTTTGCTTTCGCAGTGAGTGATTTTCGTGTGCAAGTTCGGTATTAGTTCCTCTAGGATTTTCCAGGTGTATATAATCATGTATCTCTCCCGCCTGCATTCCAGGGAATACAGGTTCAGGAACCTCAAGCGCTCCAGTAATTTAGGTGTTTTATCTCCGTTATGCGCGCCGTGAAGGTTCTCGTACATTTTTCTAGGTCAGCAATTTCACCTGCCTTGAAAGGTGCTGTTAGTGTGCAGCAATATTCCAGCCTAGATAAAAACAAGTGACCTGAAGAGTGTCTATCATGGGCTTGGCATCCCTAGTTTGAAGGTTCTCATTATCCATCCTGTCATTTTTCTAGCAGATGCGATTGATACAATGTTATGGTCCTTGAGGTGAGATCCTCTGACATGATCACTCCCAGGTCTTGACTTTGGCGTTTCGCTCTATTTTGTGGCCAGAATTTGTTTTGTACTCTGATGAAGATTTAATTTCCTCGTGTTTACCATATCTGAGTAATTGAAAATTTCTCATCGTTGAACTTCATATTTTTTTCTGCAGCCCACTGAAAGATTTGGTTGATGTCCCCTGGAGCCTTGCAGTGTCTGCAATGGAAGACACTGTCATGCAGATTCGGGTGTCATTGCAAAGGAAGACACAGTGCTGTGGCTGACATCCTTGTCTATGTCAGATATGAGGATGAGGAACAAGAGGGGAGCGAGTACTGTGCCTTGTGGGACCGGAGTTGGTCCGACGTGGGATGGGCGGCGATCCGAAAATTGCTGCACTGTAAAGGGAAAAGCCGGAATTATTATAACCAAGGGGGGGGGGGTTGAAAATCAAAGGATGGAGAAGCCAGAAGCATGTCAAAGAAGGTGGAGGTTAGTTGTATCAAGTCAGTCAGAACCCCGGTACCGGGAGCGGGTGACGAAATGGCACCAGCAAGAGGTACGGGGCATTAGAAATGCCCGAAGTGGTCAAATAATGAGACAGGGTCGGAACAAGGTGCGGTATCAGAAAGGGGCCCCGGGGGAAGCAGGTTCATGGATTTGGGACTCTATGGTTATGTCACTTTTTGTTTCATGAAAAAAAAAAAGGGGGGGGGGGATGTGGAGGAATAGCTCCTAGGGGGAAAAGGAAAGGGTTTGCAAATCCACCTCTGCACCAAAGAGGACCCCAGCACCACAAAGTAGTGCAGATGCAGCATGGAACCTGTGCCATACCCTACCCTTCATGCCAGTAAACCAGCAACCTGGGATAGCAACCTCACATTCGCCAAGCCAACTTGGTGGACAAGAGGGGGTGGCCAAACACCTGCCAAACAACATATCTCCTTCAGCCACCACCCCTCGGAATCCGACAGGCAGCCTCCAGAGATACACCAGTCACCCAAAAGACACCCAAAGCCACCCCCTAGGAGACCAGAGATGGATTGGGACACCTCCAGGTGATCCAAATTACACATAAAACTACACCAATGCCAAGATCCTCAATGGAATGGGATGGACCCCAGTACCCTTCCCCCTACCTAGGAACTAGAGTACCTGTGGGGAGAATCCCAAAGGCTGAAAATAGGAAGGGGATAGGGGAGGGATGGGGAGGAGGAAAGGAAAAAAGGGGAGATTGGGGGATTAGGTTTAGTCTGAGTAAGACCAAAAGGTTTAATTCCTCAGACCAAGAGCCTTTTCACCATGCCAAGGAGCCCCCTTTGAAGAGGTTGAAGAGCAAAGAATTTTGTCTATGAGCTACCTTGAAATACAGATTGTGGGGATTATTATTATAATCAAAAAGAAGTGCTAAGCCACAAGGGCTATACAGCGCTGCAGGGCAGGAAGGAAGCGAAGGCATCAGGTGGCAAAAGGGAGGTGGATGAGTAATAGGTTACGGATAACAGCGGGGCAGTGGATGGTGAAAGGGTAAAGGGCAGCAAGAGACTGAGCCAGAAAGGGCTGAGGGGAGTGCGTAAGGTATCATCATCAGAGTTTGTGGAGTAAATCAGTCATCGTCAAGAAGTCAATGAGAGAGTCAGGATTAAAGGAGGGTCCATCAGCAAGAAGGGAAGGTAAAG